CTGGATTGCATTTCTAGTATGTGTTGAGATGAGGTGAATGGGTTTGAATGCCAGGATAGGAAGGAATGAGGTGAATTGTCTGGGAGCAATAAGGACCCTTGTTTTGAATGTGGATGACTTTTTAAATCTGTCTAAAGTGTTTAAGGGGTACTGTGTAGCCTCATGTTTGCAAGTAGTTAATCTTAGTTTTGGGGGACATTAGGGAAGTAACTGAAATAAAGACTTAGCTGTTTGCTTCCTACTGGTGGACAAAATAGTCTGCTGTGGATAGTTGAGACAGCTTCTTGCATGACATCTGCCTAGCTGGGTTCTTGGCTGCCTTCCGTGAGGTTCACAGCCAGTTGAAAGGGGTAAATGTGGCTGTGGGTAGAGTGGGGCTCTGCTCTGTACATGGCATTTTGCTGAACTAAATCAAGATGACTGCCTCAGCTAGAGTGGTCTGTGCTGGGCAGCTACTTTGCTTGGTTCCTGTCAGTGCCTAAGCAAAGGAAGCTGGATGCAAGCTCTTCTTTGCAGAGCTGTGTTCTCTGTATTCGGCAACAGGGACTTTGACACCTTCCACTGAAATGTCTTTTTCTCCTGACTTGATCTATTTGTAGCCAGCAGTTGTTCTGAAACCTGGTATATCTTTCTAGTATGGCAAACTGCCTCTGAACAGTTGAACTGGGGGGGTATCTAATTCTCACTGAAAATAGCAGTGAACCTTTTTTTCTGAGGCACTCTTATAATTTTGTTCAAGGCTTTTAAGCCTGGAGGGTTAACAATAAAGCAAATAGCATGGGAGCAGAACATAGCATCGTGGAGATAAGCTTGTGTATCAAGCAAAGCTGAATTGCAGCAAGCCTGAGTTGTTGGTACGATAGATAAAAGCACTTTCAGTGCTTTCGTTTGTACTGAAACCTGTAACAGTTCAAAGGTTCTGAAGTAGCTAATTCCTGAGCTTATCTTTGCATTTATGGCTGGCTGTATCTCATATCAAGCTGCCCAGGGCATTAATCCATTAGTTTAATAAGGTAAGCTTTTCTGTATCTGTCCTGCTGAGGAAAAGTGCCTGTATTGTCTTGTGCATGAAGAGGGTTTTCCTTTTTTTAAAAAAGGAGTATAATTGTGCTTCCTGACTGTAGGGCAAGGTGCCACGATGCAGTTCTAGACAGACCAGGCTAATGCCAGGAAGAGTGGAGCCAGCTCTGAGCAGGAATTGCTTGTCTTGCTCTAATAAGGAGCCAAGTTGCACTTAGACCTTGGCATATGATGCTCAGTATCTGATTTAATAGACCCCTTTGTTCCCATCTTTTTTTTTTTTCTTTTTCCCTCTTCTTTATTCTGGCCTTTGTCCTTCAATTAATGTTAATAGTTTGCCTGAGAAAAGAGCTATAATTGATGCAAGTGATGAGTGGTATTGGTCCTCAGGAAAGGCTGCTTTCTCTTTGGAGCAAGAAGTGAGATGATATCCTGTCCCCTGTGCTTCAGAAATCCCTGTTGTCTTTCATTGTGGTGATTCCCTTTCTGGTGCAGCAACCTTGAGAGAAATATGATTAAGCTTATGTTGGCAAAAGGCAAAAAATCATAATGAATGAGCCATTGTTTTGCTAATGAAGAGCTCAGAATTGTATTATCTGACTTCTCTTGAGTATTTTGTGTTTCAAAGCAGTCTGCATCAATACTCCTGCAGTCTGGCAGTCTGCTTTGTTTTGGTTCTTGCTTCCTCTGCTGTGTTCTCACATGTACTGTACAGCTGTCAGGAAATCTCTGCCTCTCCTCCTCTTGCCAGTGTTTTGTTCCTTTATCCTAATCAAAGTTCCAACAGCTGAATTTTCCTGTAGACTTCCAAGTTGCTTTAGTCAGTGCCTCGTTGACAGACTTTGTCCATTGGCTTTGGTAGGTAGATCACTTGGTACTTTATGTAAAACACCACATGATTCAGTTCTGTTTCAGCAGTCTGATGGTCTTCATCCCAGCCTGAGCAAATTATTCTGAAACCTTTTTAAAAAACTTCCTAGGTGGGTTTGTAGAATTTGTTCTGGTGTAGCAACAAAGTATCTCGTAGGCAGTTAAAACAGTGTACTTTAAGTTGTATACAGGTAGTAGCTCAGCTCGTGTGTATTGGTTTGTTCTTGGGATCCCTTGGTTTGTGATACTGCTGTTCACTAGGCTTGCAGAGCAAGGGAACCTCTGCCCTTAGAGGCTGGGAGTGCTTGTGTCATGGAAACACTTGGGCCCAAACACCTGAGCTGTGGGGTAACACAACTACATACTGTGTTGGGGGAGAGTGATGTGCTGGCGTCCAGTGACTGTGCTATCCCTTAGTTGGTTTTGCCATTACTGGCTTATTTTCAGCTGCTGACCAGCTGGTTTACATAGTTCAGGATTTGTTTTGATGTGGATGGTACTTAATTTGCAGGATGTCTTGATTATCTTAACTGATAATGTGACTGGACTTTATTTAAATGACAGCTGTTTAATGAACCATCATATTCTGTCCATCAGTGCTGTACATCTTGGATCCTTGAATAATTTGAAATAGCCATGGTGCTGCCTAGTAATGTGTACTGAGATGTGACTTGAAGCACCTCAGGCATTTTCCTCTCCATACTTGAGAAAAAGGAGGGAAGGAAAGGAAGAGGAGTCTTGTCTCATTTTACTTAACCACTACAAGAATTGAACTCGCTGTTCCAATGGCATACCCTGGACTAGTACTAAAAACCAGTAAGGAAGCTGGTGAATTGGTCCCTAACCCAGAGCTTACATGAGCCTTCCTTGTCACCTTCTAGCTGAAGCCTCACTGCTTGTGTCCAGTAACCTTATTTTTAAACTAGATCTGATTCATGATCTATTTTCTATGCCAGATGAGGTCCTTGGTTGTGAGTAAGTGTTGTGACTGTAGCTGGCAGGAGCCCTGCATGATTGCCTCACTTCAGGAAACGTTAAAATAACACTTTTTTTTTCTTAGAAAGCTAGTTTGCTCCCCTCCCACTTCTAATTCTCCTAATAGCTGCCCCCAGTTTGGCAGCTGCCTTACAGAGGGTTGTTTGTGTTGCTGAGTGAGAGCAGAGAGACAGTGCTGGAGGAGAGGTACACAAAGTGAGCTTGTATCTCTAGCCAAGCTGGCTTAAACTTTTTAGAGGTTTCTCTGAAATTTGGAAGGAAAACTGCTAAACTGTGAGAAGAATCTTGCTCCTCCCCTCTGGACTCTCAGGCTGAAGCTGGGAATTTTTGTCTCTTAGAGAAGAGAACCTGCCCCAAGTGAAGCTGTTTGAGACAAACCATACAGCAGGTTTGTCTGCTCTCTTGACTGTACTAATGCAGTGGGACCAATGGTACCAATAGCTGCTGGAATAGGTGTCCTCTGAGGCTGGACCCAGCAGCTTTTGTCTGCTGTTTTGGACTTGCAGTCAGGCCTCCAAGGTACTTAGCAAAGCTTTAGTGGGGTTGAAGAGAATTATCTCCTCAAAGCTGTATCAGTGGCTGCTAGCTGCTTTGCCAGCTGATCTGTGGAAGGTTTGTAATTCTTCAGATGGAGAAGCTTTTTGTTTTCATTGCCTGGCTCTTACCTTGTTTGATCACTGCTATGGGGAGATGGTTTGTCATCAATGCTTTTTCTCTTTTGGAACTCGTCATATGGAGGGAAGAAAATTATTTATGGCTGGATAACAATGGGTAATACTTCTGTGCATCTTTGCAGTATGTGGCCTTTACTCTAGGGGATGCTTACAGCCTAAGGATTCCCCAAGAACTTTCATTTAGAGTTGTCAGCCAAAAGAGGAAGGCTGGAATTTAGTTGTCTTTATCTAATGTCTGTCAGATCTAGTAGCACTGCAGGGTGAGCACTGGCGTACTGGAGTTAGAAGCATACAAAGCACTAATCTAATGTTACCTGAATAAATGGTTTTGGACCCTGGAAAAACAGTGCAGGTACTAGGTTGCTTTGTAGTGCCTGATTTACTTTCCAGTCTGTGATCCTCTTCTTGAGTTAGAACACAAATAGAGTCCTCCTGCAATGCAGCCTACTTTCCTTTCCTTATAGTGTAAGCTGTATTTGGAATGTTTTGTGTTCTGAAGACTAGTCACAACCTCTCTAGAGCAGCAGAGGGTAAGTTTATTTAGTAATGCCACTTCTCTGCCAGGTACAGCTCAGACTAAAGCTTTGCAGGGCAGTTATTTGTATAAACCAATCCCTCCCTACTAGTCAGCTGTAGCATGTTACTACAGGGTCTGAGGAGAATGCAATTGTAAACTCGGGTCTACCATTGAGAAATTGACTGAAGCTGTTCGGACCCTTTTTCTGAGTTTAAATGCCTTGTGTGTTTTGGGTCTGTTGCGGATAGCTATAGAGGTGGCTTTGGCAGGAGATGTGCTCACTGGGTGCTGGAAGGAGCTGGAGCAGTGAACACCAGTGGGCAGCTTGGGCCTTCACTGGGATGTATTGTTCAGCCTGACCTTGTAGTGTGAACTAGGGCTGGGAGACCAGGCAAAAATATGTTTATACAAGCCACTGCTTTCAGCCCTCCTACCAACTGAAGACAATCTGGAAAAATCCAAGTCTCAAGCATTACTGCGTACAGAGTTCTGAGTCTTCTGTACTGAATAAACTCATCTTGAATCTTGCAAAGTGGACAACATATAGGTGATGGTGATGTAAAAGCAATGTTAGCTGGAGGTAGCCTAAATATAGATGTGTTCTTAAGTCTTAGTGATGCATGAATAACTGTAACAAGATGATGAGCTCTGATGGCTGAAACCTTCCTTAGGCAAAGAAGCAGAAATTCAAGTGCCTTTCTGAAGGGGACATTAGAAGCTTAGTACCTTATCTATTTGATCTATATGCTATCTCTGCTATGCAGGATATACTGCCTAAGTAGCAGGAATTATCCTTTCTTGCTGGTGGAAAGGAAGGACAAGTTGTCAGGATAAACAGATGAAAACTGTGCTCTGTAAATGTTGTAGACAATGTCGTATGTGCTAATGTTTAACTGGTCTCTTGTTTTTCTTTCCACCCCTTAGGCAATAGTGACCAGTGCACATCTTGACAAAGTCTCCTAGCAACCTTTTCTGCAGTGCTGAGTGACAGCAGGAGTGGCTGGGTAAATCGATGAGCTTGCCTTGGGAGCCTATAAATAGGCAAAGTCGGAGCACACAATGGGTCAGAAGGTCACAGGTGGGATAAAAACTGTGGATATGAGGGACCCTGTATACAGGCCATTGAAACAGGAACTCCAAGGGCTTGACTACAGCAAACCCACACGCCTGGACTTGCTACTAGACATGCCTCCTGTATCCTATGAAGTCCAGTTACTGCATTCATGGAACAATGATGATCGCTCACTGAATGTCTTTGTGAAAGAGGATGACAAGCTCATATTTCACCGGCATCCGGTGGCTCAGAGTACAGATGCCATCAGAGGCAAAGTGGGATATACACGAGGACTGCATGTGTGGCAGATCACATGGGCAATGAGGCAGCGAGGGACACATGCTGTGGTGGGGGTGGCCACAGCAGAGGCCCCTTTGCATTCAGTAGGGTACACAACGCTGGTGGGAAATAACCATGAATCTTGGGGATGGGACCTTGGGCGTAACAGACTGTACCACGATGGCAAGAACCAGCCAAGTAAAACTTATCCTGCCTTCTTAGAACCAGATGAAACTTTCATTGTGCCGGACTCCTTCCTGGTGGTTCTGGATATGGATGATGGGACATTGAGCTTCATTGTAGATGGGCAATACATGGGTGTTGCATTTCGGGGACTCAAAGGAAAAAAGCTATATCCAGTGGTAAGCGCAGTGTGGGGACACTGTGAAATACGGATGTGCTACTTGAATGGACTTGACCGTGAGTATTAACTCCCTGTGTGTGTTTTAGCAGCACAGGTCTGTGTGCTAAAGTGCAGGCTTACTAGACCCTCCTGGGGAGGATTCTCATTTTGCTAGAGAGGTGAGGGTGTCAGGTCTGCAGGAGGATTGCTGGATCCAGCTCTGAATCCTTGATGGCTCATTCAAAAATTTTGGCTGGTCATGTGCACTGTTCCCGAGGCACTGCAGGGAGCATGCAGGGTTGGGGGAGGTGGTAAGGTGGAACAAGGTGATGCCAGTTGTCTAGAGATTACAAGCCTTTCTACATTGGTACCAATGTATCAGC